TTTTTGTCTTCTAGAGCGCTTCAGATCGCTGACAGTTTTATCACAGAGTTGATATGCGTTCTCGTACGTAGAGTATGATTAGTTGAACTCACCGATCTTCAGGCTGAAGCCAATCACCAACTTTCTGTTGACGAGTGGCATGTTTCACATCTGGTTGGTTGTCAGTTCCCAGTTCCTTGTGCATATTACTTTTTATGACTTGCTGTTCCATGGATTAAGCAGAAGCAGTTGAACTTTACAACCGTGTCGATTAAGATTAGCCGAAATTCTATCTCCGTGGAATCACTCAAGGTTTTCCGAAACCTATTTTTCAAGCATCGACCAGGACTTCGTCTGTTTGCTTGGTACTAACCCCAAACTCGAGTTTTCCAGTTTGAAATCCACCTCTGTCTATCTGTTCATCTGGGTTCGGAGTTTCTCATGGCCACCAAGTCGATAAATAGGTCTACCCAGCAATCGGACGCTTTTCTAAACCCGAAACCTAATTTCCTACTCTCAGCTGGCCTGTTTATCCATCTATAGGTGTGAAGGAGTTGGAATCCAAACTTCAGACTCTAAGCTTTCCCACTGATGTGGATATGGAACAACTGGAATCTTATGTCAAATTGAAAGAGGCACTGGCTTCAGCCAAGCGGGATCGATGGGCGTTGGCGACCAAATCGAAAACTGTGATTCCGTTTTTGCAGCCTGGTCGGGTTGTGCGGGTAAGTCGTTATTTAGGCTTGTATCAGTTGGACTTTGAAAATAGTCACTTCCGATGCCTAGTTTTGATAAAGTACATAGCGTTACACTGTAACAATCTGATTACATTTGGCTGGCGTCCATCCGTTACATATTGTGTTCGACGTGTGTATCATCAAATCAGTGACTGTTCAGTCTCCGAGTTTTTCTTCGTAACCTATGAGACGCGGGGCTTATTCTGTTTGCATTTCCGGTTCCAAACTTTTCATGATAATTGAAGCAACAGATCTTTTCATTTAGGAGGACAATTTCAAAGACAGTCCCTGCATTTCTCTTGTTTCGCTTTCGTAGGCTTTGGCTTTCGTAGGAATCAGAGTTGTCGTTGTTCTTAACCTTTCTCCTTCCATGATGAGCTAGTCACTGCAGTCATGTGTGAACCAATCAGCCTTCGATTATCAGCTCAGGCGTGTGGACAATAAATGGGTACCAACGTCCAGCGTTTTCTCCAATGGACTAACACAGTACACAGAAAATAAGCTGAAGGATTAGTAGGGGTTCTGTCATACAGGTGATGTCAATCTTTTTTGAGAAGCATAGGATAATCGTACTGCTGTTTCATTCTTATTCGAAATCATCGGGAGTG